ACCTCTGTAGCCCTCATCATCCAGTGCCTCAGTTTCCTCATTGTAAAAAGGAGAAAATTATTATAGCAAACTCATAGGATTTAAATAAGGATTAAATAGTATTAAATAAAATTTATAGTAAGTCATTGGTTTGAACTGAGCTCCTACACTAGGCCCAACAGATAAACCAAAATAAAAGTCACTCATGCTGGAGTTCCACACCACCAAGTGGAAAATAAGTTGCTTATCCAACCTTGAAGAAATCAGGAGAGGGGCGGAGCCTGGTGGCTCACACCTGTAATCCCAGCACTTTGAGAGGCCAAGGCAGGTGCTGAGCTTGAGCTCAGGAATTCAAGACCAACCTGGGGAACATGGGGAGCCCTCCTCCAACACCACCACCTGTCACCCAGGCTGGAGTGCAATAGCACAATCTCAGCTCACTGCAACCTCACCTCCCGGATTCAAGCAACTCTCCTGCCTCAATCTCTCAAGTAGCTGTGACTACAGGGGTATGCCACCCTACTAATTCTTTGTATTTTAGTAGAGACAAGGTTTCACTGTGTTGCCCAGGCTGGTCTCGAACTCCTGAGCTCAGGAAATCCACCCACCTTGGCCTCCCAAAGTGCTAGGATTACAGGCGTGAGCCACTGCACCCAGCCTGTAATTTTACTTTTTTTGTTGTTGTTATTCTTTTACTAGTGATATGTGTCTCCTCCACTAAAATGAAAGTTCCTGGTGATCAGGGTCTTTGTTCATCATTGTATTTCCAGAACCTACACAATGAGTACTCAACCATTCAACTGACTCTTTGATGTCTCACCCTTAACACATCCAAAACTGAAATGCAGATCATCCGCCCACTCCCACCAGGGTCACTACTCCACATGCAAGGCTGCCATGGTGCACAATTCCAAGGAGTGCCATCCACAGCACGGTCAATGGATGGTACCTTGCCTCTGTTCAAGCGAACTAAATATAGCCAGAGAAGGACACCGTACTTTCATATTTGAGTCCTTGTGGACAACTGTAACCTAACTTAATGGGTAGACAAGATTGAAAACCTAATTTAGGAATATGCGCCTGCAACAATAGCTGGGTCTTAGCCAATCACAGCAGCCATACTTCAACCACTCATAAACTGAGTGTTCAAACTGTGTTCAAATAGGCAAACGCCAAACTGTAACCAATCCAGCTATTTCTGTACCTCACTTCCAATTTCTGTACCCCACTCCCCTTTTTGCCTGTAAATTTGTTCTGACTTCCAGGCATCCCTGCAGTCTCTCTGAATCTGCTGTGATTCTGAAGGATGCCCAATTCGCAAATAGTTTATTGCTCAGATAAACTACTTTACTTTTTTTAAAATTATTTATTTATATTTATTTTTGGGTTTGTTTGTTTTGAGACAGAGTCCCGCTCTGTTGCCCAGGCTGGAGTGCAATGGTGCGATCTTGGCTCGCTGTAACCTCCACCTCCAGGGTTCAAGTGATTCTCCTGCCTCAGCCTCCTGAGTAGCAGAGATTACAGGTGCCTGCCACCACGCCTGGCTAATTTTTATATTTTTAGTAGAGACAGCATTTCACCATGTTGGTCACACTAGTTTCAAACTCCTGATCTCATGATCTGTCCACCTTGGCCTCCCAAAGTGCTGGGATTGCAGATGTGAGCCACCACACCTGGCCCTTATTTATATTTATTTTTTTTTATTTTATTTAGATGGAGTCTTGCTCTGTTTGCCCAGGCTGTAGTGCAGTAACTGCAACCTCGCCTCCTGGGTTCAAGCAATTCTCCTGCCTCAGCTTACAAGTTGCTGGGGTTATAGGCATGTGCCACCACGCCCAGCTAATTTTTGTATTTTTAGTAGAGATGGGGCTTCACCTTGTTGGCCAGGCTGCTCTCAAACTCCTGATCCTCCCGCCTCAGCCTCCCAAAGTGCTGGAATTACAGGAATGAACCACCGCACCTGGCCAAACTCCTTTATATTTAATTCAGCTGAAGTTTTTCTTTTAACAACTTCTTCCCAGTTGTGCCCTTCACATGACTGTCAATATGAATGGTGCCCTCTGAAGCTGTGCATTACTCTTCTCAACCTCAGTAATGGCAGCTCCAGCCTTCCAGTTGCTCAGGCCAGCCAAAAATTTTGGAGGCGACTTTGACTCCTCTTTTTAACTCATACCACACATTTACTCTACCAAGAAATTCTATTGGCTCAACCTTCAAAATACATCAGCACTTGGGGCCAGGCACAGTGGTTCAGGCCTGTAATACTGGCACTTTGGGAGGCCAAGGTAGGAGGACCCCTTGGGCCCAGAAGTTCGAGACCAGCCTGAGCAACATTGTGAAACTGTCTCTACAAAAAATACAAAAATTAGCCAGGCATGAAGGCATATGCCTGTGGTCTCAACTACTCAGGAGGCTGAGGTGGGAGAATCTCTTGAGCACGGGAGGTTGAGGCTGCAGTGAGCCCTGATTGCATCACTACACTCCAGCCTGGTGGCAAAGTGAGATCCTGTCTTAAAGAAATAAATAAATGGCCAGGCACAGTGGCTCACGCCTATAATCCCAGAACTTTGGGAGGCCAAGGTGGTGGATCACAAGGTCAGGAGTTCGACCTGGCCCACATGGTGAAACCCCATCTCTACTAAAAATACAAAAATTAGCCAGGTGTGGTAGCACATGCCTGTAGTCCTACATACTCCGAAGGCTGACGCAGGAGAATCACTCGAATCCAGGAGGCAGAGGTTGCAGTGAGCTGAGATCACGCCACTGCACTCCAGCTTGGGCAATAGAGGGAGACTCCATCTCATAAATAAATAAATAAACAAACAAACAAACAAACAAAATACCTCTCATCTTCTCCATCACTTTCACTGTAGCCCGAACCACCCACCAACATCCCCTATATGGATTATTGCAATAGACTTTATAGTTCTTGCTTCTGCTCTTGCCCTCCTACAATCTACTCTCAATCCAAGACCCTTTTCTTTTTTTTCTCTCTTTTTTTTTTTGAGACCAAACTTTGCTCTTATTGCCCAGGCTGGAGTACAGTAGCATGATCTCGGCTCACCACAACCTCTGTCTCTTGGGTTCAAGCAATTCTGCTGCCTCAGCCGCCAGAGTAGCTGGGATTACAGGCATGAACCACCATGACCAGCTAATTTTGTATTTTTAGTAGCAATGGGGTTTCTCCATGTTGGTCAGGCTGGCCTTGAACTCCCAACCTCAGGCAATCTGCCCTCCTAAGTCTCCCAAAGTGCTAGGATTACAGGCGTGAGCCACTGCGCCTGTTCTGATCCTTTTTTTTTTTTCTTGAGACAGAGTTTCACTCTGTTGCCCAGACTTCAATGCAATGATATGATCATAGCTCACTGCAGCCTCAAACTCCTGGGCTCAAGTGAGCCTCCCACCTCAGCCTCTCAAGTAGCTAGAACTGTAAATGTGAGCCACAACACTCAGTTAATTTTCTTAATTTTTAGTAGAGATGGGGTCTTGCTATGTTGTCCAAACAAAGACGCTTTAAAACATAAATCAGACCATACACTACTCTCTTCAAAACCCTGCAGTTCTCATGAAGGTAGAATAGAATGATACTTATCAGAGGCTGGGAAAGAGCAAGGTGAGGAAGATGAAGACAGGTTAGTTAATGGGTATAAACATACAATCAGATAGAAATAATAAATTCTAGGCCAGGTGCTATGATTCATGCCTGTAATCTCAGCACTTTGGAAGGCCAAAGCAAGTGGATCACCTGAGGTCAGTTTGAGCCCAGTCTGGCCAACACGGCAAAACCCCGTCTCTACTAAAAATACAAAATTAGCCAGGCGTGGTGGTGCATGCCTGTAATCCCAGGAACTGGAGGGCTGAGGCAGAAGAACTGCTTGAACCCAGGAGGCGGAGGTTGCAGTGAGCCAAGATGGTGCCACTGTGCTCCAGCCTGGGCAACAAAATGAGGCTCCATATCAAAAAAAAAAAGAAAGAAAGAAAGAATAAATTCTAGTGTTGAATGGCATAGTAGGGTGACTACAGTTAACAGTAATTTGTTGTATATGACAAAATAGCTACAAGAGAGGATTTGAAATATTCCCAACATGAAGAAATGAGAAATGTTCGAGGTGATGGGTGTGCTGAATACCCTGATTTAATCATTACACATTGTACGTATGTATTAAAATATCACATACACTCCATAAATATGTATCAATTTTTTTAATGTTAAAAAAAAAACCAACAACCCTGAAGTGGGTCCCCATTTCCCTAATAATAAAAGCCAAAGTCTTTACTGTGACCTCTAAGGCCCTCAGCCCTCCCAGACAGCTACATGACTACATCTCTTAATTCCTTCAAGTAGGCTCAAATTAGACCTTTGGCCAGGTGCAGTGGATCATGCCTGTAATCACAGCACGTTGAGAGGCCGAGGCAGGTGGATTACTTGAGGCCAGGAGTTCGATACCAGCCTGGCCAACATGGCGAAACCCTGTCTCTACCAAAAATACAAAAATTAGCCAGGTATGGTGGCACACCCATCCATGATCACAGCGACTTAGGAGGCTGCGGCACAAGAATCACTTCAACCAGGGAGGGTAAGGTAGCAGTGAGCCAAGTTCTCACCACTGCACTCCAGCCTGGGAGACAGAGGGAAACTCCCTCTCATGAGGTTTACCTTGACCTATTTAACTTGCCACTCTCCAAATCCCCTTACTCTGCTATTTTTATTTCTGCTCTTATAACTGTCTAACATACTTATGTATAATATCTGTGTCAATTTATTGTATTCATTGTTTACTATCTGTATTTTTTCTGTTAGGATAAAAGATCCAAAAGAACAAGATTTATTTATGAAAACCTCCCCATGCATCTAAAACAATGTCTGGCACATTGTAGTTTCAATAAGTTAATGAATAACTACAGGATCTACCAAGTAATTAAAGATGAGCAAATATTAATATGGGAACAAGGGTGACATGTAGGTTGATACTAGTTATAAAGTTTTTCTCTCCATAGTATGTACTTATTTGTTAACATACATGTATATGGAACTGTGCAGCAGGGTGAAAATTGCAGTTTTTGCAGTCAGAGCTTGGGTGATTCCTGGCCTTTCTGTGTGGTCTTGCAGAAGATTCCCTTGGTCCACTTGTAAAATAGGAGTAAAAACACTCGTCCCGTTGACCCGGGAGGCAGAGGTTGCAGTGAGCCGAGATCACAGCCTGGGCGACAGAGTGAGACTCCATCTCATAAATAAATAAATAAGCAAACAGGCTGTTGAGAAAATAAAATGAATGTGAATCATTTAGCAAGCTGAGGTATGCAACATAGTTCTTTGGGAAGAGCAGGATTTGAAACTCGGTAACACCTATTGCCATCATGCCATTTATTCCCAAAGAGAGTTCTGTGACCTCTGTACTGCCGATCAGATTTTAACCTTTATTTTTGCCCAGTGCTGACAGGGAGGAATCTCTGAGCTCCCTCACCCTGTTCAGGTTAATTGCCCTCTCTTTTCCTTTCCATTTTCGGAAGATGGACAGCAGGTGCTGCGTTCCAGGATCCCTGATCTTGCTGACTCAGGCTGCCTCTTACTTTCACCAGGGATGAAAAAGGAGCAGTAACAACATGTGTGTGAGCACTGGCATAGCTTTATGAGAGCTTCAATGGACAGGATGTCTCTTCCAAAGGAAAAGATGAAGACTTTTCTCCCACAATGCAGAACAGGGGGCAAACAGGTGACTCAGGAGACCTGAGTTCACTGCCCCATACTCTAGGAAGTGAGAGATTTGGGGAAGTCCCTTCGATCTTACCAGGTCAAGGACATAGTCATGGCAATCACAGTGCCCTTTGGCCCTGGCAAAAGTTTTTGGAGGGACAAAGTGGAAGGAGGCCCCTGCACACTGAGAGTTTGTTTTGAGGCTTTTGGTGTAATTAAGAGTGAAAAAGGGGCTGGGCGCAGTGGCTTATGCCTGTAATCTCAGTACTTTGGGAGGCCAAGGCAGGTGGATCACCTGAGATAAGGAGTTCAAAACCAGCCTGACCAACATGGTGAAACCCCGTCTCTACTAAAAAGACAAAATTAGCTGGTTGTGGTGGCACATGCCTGTAATCCCTGTCACATGGGAGGTTGAGGAAGGAAAATCATTTGAACCCAGAATGGAGAAATTGCAGTAAGCCGAGATCACGCCATTGCACTCCAGCCTGTGCAACAGGAGCGAAACTCCAAAACTCGGTCACAAGCACGCAAAAAAAAAAGAAAAGAAATAAATAAGAGTGAAAAAGGGCCGAGCACAGCCGCTCACACATGTAATCCCAACTCTTTGGGAGGCTGAGGCGAGTGGATCACTTGAGGTCAAGGGTTCAAGATCAGCCTGGCCAACATGGTGAAACCCCTGTCTCTACTAAAATTAGTTGGGCATGGTGGCTCAAGCCTGTAAGCCCAGCTTCTCAGGAGGCTGAGGCAGGAAAATCGCTTGAACCCAGTTTGCAGTGAATGGAGGTCCAGCCACTGCACTCCAGCCAGGGGGACAAAGCAAGACTCTGTCTCAAATAATAACAAGAATAAAAAGAGCAAAAAAGAAAGAAAGACAGCCAAACAAGCCTCAGAAATTGCCATTTGTTTAATATCTGCATTAAAAAATTATCCTTTCCATCAGATGAAAAATACCTTATAATTTATTATCGATAATACATTAGTTCGTAAGCACACTAGAAACAAGGGATTCCTTAAGGCACATATGAGGGTATTTCATTTTTATTTTATTATCTTTAAGGATAATTTGGTGGGCAGGGGTCAGTGAGTCGGGAGTACTGATTGGTTGGGTCGGAGATGAGACGTGTTAGGTTTAAGTTCCATAATGAAACGCTTTCAATCGTGTCAGTTTATCTGTACCTATAAACACACTCCTTTAGAGAAAAGTCAAAAGTAGACGACAGGGTTCAGTGGCTCACGCCTGCAATCCCAGCACTTTGGGAGGCCGAGGTGAATGGATAACCTGAGGTCTGGAGTTGGAGACCAGCCTGGCCAACATGGTGAAACCCCATCTCTACTAAAAATACAAAAAATTAGCCAGATGTGGTGACCGGCACCTGTTATCCCAGCTACTCGGGAGGCTGAGACAGGAGAATCGCTTGAACCCGTGGAGCGGAGGTGGCAGTGAGCCAAGATCGCACCACTACACTTCAACCTGGGGAACAAGGGCGAAAATCCATCTCAAAAAAAAAACAAAAGTTTATATGTGAGGCTTTTTTAGTATTCCTGAGAAGAGGGTTTATCCTGTCTATGAAAGGGCTTAGGATGACATTAATTATCCGATGAGTGCCCTTTCCTAACCCTGTGTTTAATCAGTGGCAATCCTAGATTTGAATTATTTAAACGTGTTATTATTTAGCCATTTACGTACTTCGTTTGTCACTTCCAGGTAAATGGTAGCCACCTACAGAGAGTAAAACAGAAGTTGGCTGATAACATTTCATTTGAGCGCCTTCGGTTACAAAAGTGCGTGAATTGGTCTGGCACGGTGACTCATGCCTGTAATCTCAGCACTTTGAGAGGCCAAAGAGGCGGGTGGATTACCAGAGGTCAGGAGTTCGAGACTAATCTGGCTAACATGGTGAAACCCTCTCTCTACTAAAACACAAAAATTAGCGGGACCCGGTGGTAAACGCCTGTAATCCCAACTACTCGGGAGGCTGAGGCGGAAGAATCACTTGAGCCTAGGAGGCGGAGGTTGCAGTGAGCCAAGATCGTGCCACTGCACTCCAGCCTGGGCGACAGAGCAAGACTCCCTCTCAAAAAAAAACAAAACAAAACAAAAAATGCTTATGAATTGTTTGAAGAGGCACGGAGACCGCGGCAATCCTAACTGTTCCAGACATCTGGCAGCCATATGCTAACCTTGAACTTGAACTTCAGAATGAAAGTATAAATTTGTAAGGGGGAAGTTCCGCCGCAATTCACATACTCCTGGTCAAAAAAAAAAAAACAAACCCTCAGACCGGCAACCTAAATCATTTAGAAAGCTCAAGAGCCCTGAGAAAAACTATTTTCACACACTTCCCTAGCACTAACATGGGAAGTGCGTTTGCTTCACATATTCCAAACCGTTCACTCTTCCCACCAACATCAAAAGCCTAAGGCGCCCAGGGGTCATAGTAAACCTATCAGCCTCTCCAAGAAACAGGGCTTTAGTACTTTCCCAGCAGCAGGCGAGGCTGACCGAGGCTGGAGACCTTATTACTCCTTGAAGAATTGTCTGAGAGGAGCGGTGCTTACGACTCCTCGTTAGTATAGTGGTTAGTATCCCCGCCTGTCACGCGGGAGACCGGGGTTCAATTCCCCGACGGGGAGACAGTTGGCGTTTTGTCCAACGTTATTGTTTTCTGACAGGATGTTCCTGTTAAACAAACATAATGTGTTAAACCAGCTCTTGTAAGTTCACAACCATCTCTTTTCAAAATGGTGACTTTTAAGCTTAACGCTCACCGCAAAATGAAGACCTCTCCTGAAAGAAAACTCCTTATATTGTTTGCAGGAATTGAGGAAAGGGAAAAAGAAAACGCTCTAAGAGCTTCTGTCCTTGCCTCCAGCCTCCAGCTGGCAAAGGCCTGCGGCTGCGCAGTGGCGCCCCGCCAGATTACAACTAAAGGTCGCGAACTCAGCGCGCCCAACCCGTTGGCTGAGGGGAGAGAAGGCGGAGTCTCGCGCCCAACAGGGCGGGGGCAGGGCGGGTATAACGGAAATCATTTGGTAAAGAAGAGGAAGAGCCAATTTCCTTGGATCCTGGAGACTAAATGGGAAGCCCCGTTGTCTCGCCTCTGCTGGTTACGTCCCAGCCTTGGTAGAGTACTATCAGTCAGCAAAGTATGGACGCTTAAGGAATCGGTCTCCTGGTCCAACAGATACTGGGGTGGAGGGGCAGAGAGTGAATGAAGAGAAAGCTGGGTATTCTTGGAAGAAACGCCACTAATCGGTGTCCTAAGAAACTACGCGAGCCACAGCCCAGCAGGACCTCGTGGCGCAACGGTAGCGCGTCTGACTCCAGATCAGAAGGCTGCGTGTTCGAATCACGTCGGGGTCAAGGGTTTTTGTTTTTTCCTCCATATTTTAAACTACTGAATTCTAGAAGCTGCGGTATATTCCCGCCAATTTCCTTGACTATTACAATTAAGTTTTCCTCTTTCAGGTGTTTTGGTAGTAATCTTTTGTTTGCAAGAAGATACGGTTTACTCTATATTGAAGAGCCTCAAGGCTGATGTTTGTATCATTTGGCTTTTTAAAGTGAGGGTTTTTTTGGTCGCTTAACATGCATAATGTGTAAAGAGGTGAATTATTACTGCTGTGCATTAGTGGGCATATCAGTCCACTGGTCATCACATGAAGTGTGCAATATACTGTACAAGCTGTTTTTCCAAACAGTTTTAGGCTGCTTGCCTTTCGAAAGTGAGTACAATAGCATACAAGTTCTAATTTTGAATTATTTACTAATCAAGTGTTTTAGCCCTTACCGTGCCAACACTGTGAACAACCTCACAATGTGTAACTATTATCCCACTTTACAAATGTGGCTGTGGCACACAGGGTTAGTAACCTGCCAAGGGTCACTCAAGATTCTGAACCAGGTGAGTGACTCCGGATCCCTCTTTATAAATGCTTTATAATAAAGGTGGAAACAAACGGTTGAAAGAATGTGCGACTATTGGGCGCAGTGGCTTCCATCTGTAATCCTGTTAGAAATGGATTTATAAGGTTGGGAAAAATCCACACCAAGACAATGGATCACTCAGCAAGGTTAGTTTACTTCCTGCAGGAAGGGGGCAACTCGCCAGCAGTCTTGCCAGGAGAGCACAACTGAACAAGGGGACAGGGACATTTATAACTTTCACAACCTGGCCAGAAGAGCACAACGGAACAAGGAGACAGGGACATTTATAACTTTCACAACCTGGCGCAATCGCCCTACTGCTGTGTGCAGTTTCCATTGGCCGGAAGGGACCTCACATTCTATGCTTGACCCGATTGGCTAAAAACTTGGAAATTTCCTGAATAGATAAGGAGAAAAAACGACAAGGAAGAAGAGGAAGCTAGTTAGAAGAAGGTCAGGAGGGTTTCCAAATAAGGAATGGCATGCACCAGGGTTTGGAGCTTGCCCAGTTCTGTTCAGACATGCCAGAGCGAGTCAAGGTAGCTGACTTAAGACATAGCTGATTTAGAGAATATATATACATGGGTATATGTTTATGCTAATAGCGGATAATGGCCATAGAGCAAGAGATTATTACTCCTTATAATGTAGTCTAAGATAAAAACTTTGAAGAACTTTACCATCTCTCACAAATCCCAACACTTTGGAAGGCCGAGGTGGGAGGATCACAAAGTCAGGAGTTTGAGACCAGCCTGGCCAACATGGTGAAACCTGTTTCTACTGAAAGTACAAAAATTAGCTGGGCATGGTGGTGCACACCTATAATCCCAGCTACCCGAGAGGCTGAGGCAGAAGAATTGCTTGAACTCGGGTGGTAGAGGTTGCAGTGAGTCAAGATCGCACCACTGCACTCTAGCCTGGGTGACAGAGCAAGACTTCCTCTTGGGAAAAAGAAAAAGAAAACAAAGAATGTGCGAAAAGCTGTTGGATTGAGCACTTTTTATGTTCTCACCGATTCATGCAAGTAATGAGTAGTTACCACTTTTAACATTTTTTTTTTTTTTTTTGAGACGTAGATTTTTGCACCTGGCCCACTTTTGACTATTAATCTCTTTAATAGCAGGGAGCAGAGCTCACCCACTCACCTTTGTAAGCTCCAGGACTCTTAGTACTAAATAGTGCCCTACACGTCAGTGTCAAATATTTGTTGAACAAAAAATGAACAAGAATATGAGAAATTAATAGTTTTAGATTTTGACGTCATGTTTTGTAAAAATTCTGAGGTTTTCTGCTTAGTATTTTGTAAACATCAAACACTAATTTCTTTTGATTCAACCTAATGTAGCAGTATACCTGGAAATTATATTTGCACATGACATGGTTTGTTCTTCCCTGTCTTGTTTGGATTAAAATTAGATCATCAGGTCAGGCGCGGTGACTCAGCCCTATAATCCTACCACTTTGGAAGGCCGAGGTGGGGAGATCACAAGATCAGGAGTTCAAGACTACCCTGACCAATACGATGAAACCCTGTCTCTACTAAAAATACAAAAATTAGCTAGGTGTAGTGGCGCAAGCCTGTAGTCCCAGCTGCTCCAGAGGCTGAGGCAGGAGAATTGCTTGAGCCCAGGAGATGGTGGAGGTTGCAGTGAGCCAAGATCACACCACTACACTCCAGCCTAAGTGACAAAGCGAGACTCCATCTCAAAAAAAAAATTAAAAATTAATCATCCATTTCAATGGATATTTATGACTGCCAACTCCAATGAGCCTGATACTGTGCTAAGCACTGAGGATGAGGATACGCTGAGTAAAAATGGGTTTTTTTTTGAGCATCAGGAGACAGATACGTTAAGCCACCAAATGCCATAATGTGTTGCGGTAAGTTCATGCTACTTGCTAAGAAACATGGTAAGAACCATGAAAGTAGCATAAACAGAGTGGTATGGGGGAGCTAAAACAGTGGACATTAACTCCACATCGGGTTTTATCAGGCTGTAACAAGGTGATACAACCTGCTCCATCTACATCACAAAAATAGGGTTTTGTCCAAATGAGTTAAAATGCTTGATCCAAGCTAAGATATATGATATGCAGTATATGCAAATGGTGCCAGAGGGAAGAAATGGCTTCTGTTATGAGCTGAATTTCATCTCCCCAACATTCATATGTTGAAGCCCTCACTCCTAGTACCTCAGAATGACCATAAGACATGATTAAGGAAAACTGAGCCCATTAGGGTGGGTCCTAATCCAATCTAACTGGTGTCATACTTATAAGAGGAAATTTAGACACACAGACATCAAGGATGTGTGCACACAGAGGAAAGGCCATGTGAGGACACAGCAAGAGAGCGGCCATCCAAAAGCCAAGGTCTGGGAAGAAACCAACCCTGCTGGCCTCTTGATCTTGGACTTCTAGCCTCAAGATCTCTGAGAAAATAAATATCTGTTTACTTTTATTACGGCAGCCCTAGCAAACGAATAGAGCTTTCGTGAAGAACTACTAGTTCTATAGAATGGCTGGAGAGGAAGAGATATAAAGTTGGAGAAGTAAATAGGAGTCAGCATACAGGACCTGTGTGCCATTACAACTAATTTAGATTTTATTCTGAGGGCAATGCAGAACTATAATTCATGACTGAGACAATCCAACCAGCTTCACAAATACTAAAAAATGGCTAAAAACTGTTCCTGGACCAGCAACCTGGGAATAAGTTAGAAACGAAAATTTTCAGGCCTCATCTCAGACCTACAGACTCAGAACATGGAGTGTGAGGCACAGCAACAAACCTTCCAGGCCATTTTGATGCAAGCTGAAGGTTGAGAACCTCTAGCCTATAAAGCAAGGCAAGACTAGAGGTCCTACTTACTCCACAGGTTAAAAGGATCAAATAAGATAACATACATCAAAATGTTTTCTAAGCTGTTACACATGTCGTTATTAATACTGTTATGGCTCTAAAACTATCACTTCCCAGCTCCCAGATTCTTTCCCAATGCTGGCATATGTAGTTTTTTAGAATGCTCCATCTGATGATTTGCTGTAACTTTGAAGTGACTGCAGATCCAACACTTTTTAACTTAATCTTCTACACATCATGATATAGGATGATACATGGGAAGAGTTTTATAGTAAAGGTGGAAACAAAGAGCTATTAATTGTCAGTACTTGGGAACTGAAACATGGACATGTCTAGAACAGCTCTGTAGATTTGTTCTACTTCACTAAGAAATGTCTGTTCATTTATTCTTCCAAGAGGACTTTCCACTATTACAGAATGCTCTGAGCATTTATTTCACCTGTTTAATAGCCTAGCTTTCCCCTCTGAAATTATTTTAATTGCTTAAGACCTGTGAAAGAAAAACAAATCTCAGTGTTACCAGGGTCCTGATAGACTGCAAAAGAGGGTTCTTGAATCTCACACAAGAAAGAATTCAAGTTACATCCATAAAGTGAAAGCGAATTTATTACGTAAAGGAATAAAGAATGGCTACTCTATAGGCAGAGCAGCCCCAAGGCTGTACCCGGCTTCTTTGGATATTTTTAAAAAATATACACATATCCACAAACTTCCATAAAAGTGTTCCTGGCCAGGCGTGGTGACTCAAGCCTGCAATCCCAGCACTTTGGGAGGTCGAGGCAGGTGGATCACCTGAGGTCAGGAGTTCGAGACCAGCCTGGCCAACATGGTGAAACCCCGTCTCTACTAAAATATTAAAAAATTAGCCAGGTGTAGTGGCACACACCTATAATCCCAGCTACTCAGGAAGCTGAGGCAGGAAAATCACTTGAACCTGGGAGGCAGAGGTGGCAGTGAACCCAGATGGTACCATTACACTGTGGTCTGAGCAACAAAGTGAGTCTCCATCTCAAAAAAAAAAAAAAAAAAGTTGAGGCCAGGCTTGGTGGCTCACGCCTGTAATCCTAGCATTTTGGGAGGCCAAGGTGGGCGGATTGCCTGAGCTCAGGAGTTCAAGACCAACCTGGGCAACATGGTGAAACCCCATCTCTAAAATAAATAAAATTTTTAAAAATTAATTAATTTATTTATTTTTATTTATTATTATTTTTTGAGACGGAGTCGCTCTTGTTACCCAGGCT